TAAATTTAAAAATGGAAAGATTGCTCATATTATTTTTTTCTGATTGTACTATTATTTTCTAATTTTACTGAAGTGTGATCAGAGGATATTTTATTTATTTTTGCTATTTTTGGAACTTTTTGAGACTCCTATGTGACTTAATATTTGGTCAATTTATATGGCCTTTTTTTTTTGAGATAGGGTCTCACTAGGTAGTTCAGGCTGGGCTTGATCTCACTATGTAGCCCAGGGTGTCTTCCAACTCATGGTGATCCTCCTGCCTGTCTCCCAAGGGCTGCAATTATAGGTGTTCCTCACCATGCTCAGTTTGTATGGTCTTTTGAAAAGGAGATGTATTCTCTATTGCTGGGAAATATAGTTTGCAATATATTAATCAGTATATCATATTACCAAATAAGTCAGATCTTTACATATATTACATGTTTATACTTAATCTTTTATAGACCAAAAGAAATTAATGAAACATTCCTGTTCCTACAATGCTTTTGTCTATTTGTCCTTAGATTCTTATAATTTTTGCTTTATAAATATTGTTGACACATTATTTGTTGCAAAGACATGAATTACTGTTATAGATTATATGGCTTTTACAAAGTGTCCTGTTTAATGACATTTGACCTAAATTCCACTTTCTCTGATACTAAGACCACGACCCTTGCTTTTTTCCTGTTTGCTTTTGCTTGTATTAAGATATGTAACATGCATGATAAGAAAACACAGGAAACATAATTCAGTTGTTTTAAAATGAGTGCTTTTCTATCAGTTATCTCTGGCTACTGTAACAAAATAATATAGACTGGGTGGCTTGAACAACAGAAAATTATTTTCTCACAATTCCAGAGGCTGAAGTCTGAGGTCAGAATGTCAGCATGGATGGAGGGGCAGGCAGAGTTCCCCTTCCTGGCTCATACCTGGCCATCTTCTCCTGTGTCCTCGCATGCAGGGAGAGAACCCTGATTTTCCTCTTCTTAGGAGCACCAGTTCTAGGATGATGGTCCCACTTTGGTTACCTCATTGGGGCTCCCTCCATCACTTGCTGACTACAGTGTTTCATCTCAGTCACGTTGGGGGTTAGAGTTTCAAAATATGAATTTGCAGGACAGGGGGCACAGTTCAGTTTTTAGCAGCATGTGTGGCAACTACCAAGTCACAAAATGGGCATTGCAAGCCCTTTGCAGCCCCTTCCTAGTTACAGTCTTTGCCCTCTGTCCTATGTGTTCTTCTCTTCCTGATATTTGGTGCTTTTATAATTTCATTTTATTGACATTTTTACCTCCTAAGTGTGATCTGGTTAAACGTGTTCCCAAAAGTCCATGTTTTGGAGATTTACCCTCCAAATTAATATGTTAATGCTATTTAGAGATGGACACTTTGGAAGTGATTAGGATTATATGAGGTCATAGGGTGGAGCCCATGATGGCCTTAATTGCTTTATAAGAAAAAGAAGCGATGCCTGAACTAGGATACTCCCCTCTCACCATCTGCACCTTCTGCCATCAGATGATGTAGCAAGAGAACCCTCACCAGATGCTAAGCAGATGCCAGTTCCATGCTTAGACTTCCCAGCCTCCAGAACCAAAGAAAAATCTATTGTACATAAATGTTGCATCTCAGGTATTTTGTTATAACCACAGAAAACAGACTGTGACAATGCCTACATGAAATAATGTTGCTTACTTTTGAATTTATGTAAGTGGCATCATGCTTATATAATCCTTTGTGTCTGGCTTTTTTGTTCTGTTCTGTTTTGGTTTGGTTCAATTTTGTTCTACAGACTCACTCTTGTTCCTTAACGAACCTATAGTTTATTCATTTTCATTGCTGTACTTTATCTCACTACTAGGATATAGCAGCTATTTAATATATTTGAAGATTTATGAATATCTGGGTTGTTTCCAATTGTTAGTTTTGATGGGAAATACTCATAAGCTTTTTTTGTAGCTGTATTTTGGGGCACACCAATACATATAAAGTATGATCTAAAAGTATGGTGAATATTTAAACTTTAAAAATTAGTGTTACAGTAAAAGACACATTACCATTATCTTCCCTGCCCCCTCAGAATACTCCCTCCAGCTTCCAACACACTTATTCCAGCATTCTTTCTAAAGCAGTTCTGGAAGCCCTCTTTCATGAGTGTCTTTAGTTGTGTTGTCATGCCTGCCTCACTGTCCTGAATTGACTCAAAACATTTACCTTTCATGATCATTTTGACTTTAAGGAAGAGCCAGAAATTGCAAGATGCTCTACCCAGTTAATAAGGTGAACAAGAACACACTGTATTTTACAAGCCTGCCTTTCCATTGTATGACACTCAACAGCAGTATTCACTGTACTTTTGAGCATACTTTGTAAAGGTTCTTATGAAAGAGAACTTCTAGAACTGTTTCAAAAAGTGATCAGAATGATGGGATAAGTATGTTTGAAATGAGGAAGAGGATTTTGAGGGGAATTAATGGCAATGTGTCTTTTACTGTAATAAATTTTGTATATTTCAAAATTCACTATGTATTTTGGTCACACCTCATGCTTTGGTTGAGTATAGGTACCTAAGAGTACAATTAGAGGAACACAGTGTATGCATAACTTTAGACTGATTAGGTAGTGTCCACTGCTGCACGAGAGATTGTTCATACCCGTGTACACCCATGAGCAGTGTACGAGTTCCTGGTGCTCCATAGCCTTCCCCATGCTTAGTATTGCTATACTTTACGAGTCTCCTTATACAAAGAGTATTTACTAACTCCTCGGTATGTTCAAATCTGCACTTCCTTGATAAAAAATAGTAGGAACACTTGAGTGTATTGATTGGCCACGTAGTTTTCTACTTTTGTACAGCACTTGTTAAGTGTTTTGCTCTCTTTACTGTTGGTTGTGCTGATATTTTCCTAATTGATTTGTAGAGGTTCAGCACTCTAGATACAAGCATGTTTTACACATGTAGTGTTGCAGGTACTTTGTACTCTGCAGGCTTTCTTTTTCATGCTCTTCAAGTTGTCCTCTGATGTACAGAAATCCATAATTTTAGGATACTGAAATCATATTTATGACAAGTGTAATGAAACTTTTCTAGCCTGAGGTCATAAAGATACTTTCCTTTGTTTTTTTTTTTCTTGCTATAAACACCAGATTTTTGTATTTCACAAATAAATTCAGGTGCAGTCTACCTAGAATCAACTCGTGTGTGATATAATTATGTTTGTTCAACATAATTATTGCACTGGGGTTTGTAGTTCTTTAGCAACACTGACTGAAGTCTGTCTTTTCCCTGTCATTTTGCGGGGCCACCTGTACCACCAATTAAATGCCTGCATATGCATTGGTCTGTTTCTAGTTTGACTAATCTTCCACCTCAACATGTACTGTTTTAATTATTACAGCTCTGTAGTAAATCTTGACATCCAGTAGAGTGAATTTTATCATGTTTTTCTTCCTCAAAAGTGTCTTGGCTAAAATTTACTCTTTGCATTTTCACATACTTTAGAGTCACTTTGTCAAGTAATGCAATAAAATCCTGTCTGGATTTTGATTGAGATCATATTAAGTTAGTCATTCAAGGGAGTTTTTGTAATATTGAGATTCTGAGTTCAAGAACAGAACATTATCTTCCCATTTGTTAGATTTTTCTCTGGCTTTACTTAATATTTTTCATGATTTTGCTTGGAAAAATCTTATTTATGCTTTGATGATCTTCTTCCTAGATACTTGCCATTTTTAAATGCTGTTATACATGATAGTTTAATAATTATTTTGAGTTTATTGTTAGCACATAGACCTATAATTGATTTGTACATATTAATGCATACCCAGTGACATTACATACTATCTTATTAATTCTAGTAGTTTTTCTCTAGATTATGTTAGATATTTTATGTATATATTATTACCTGTAATACTATTTTCTTTCTCTTGCACGTTTTGTTTCTTTTCTTTGCCTTCCTACACCAGCTAAGACCACTTTGCAAAGTTCAACTGATGAAAACAACATCTCTGCTTTTTTTTCCCCCTTTTAATCTCAGCAGGAAAGATTTCCATGCTCACAATAAAGTATGATGGTTGCTATCTTTTGAAGAATGAATGCCCTTTGTCAGAGTGAGGTGAGCAAGGCAATTCCACTTATTCCAACTTTTCTGTGAGTTTCAAAATCATAAATGGAAATTGAAGATTATCAAGTAATTTTTCAGCATCTATTAAGATATCTATATGATTTTTCTCCTTTAATCTATTAATAGAAATGGAACATTTTTCTGTTGTGGCATTTATTACTATAATAGCAGGAAAAGGTAGAAAAGGAAAAAGCTTTGTAGAGTTCCTGTCATTATACCTGAAGGAAATGTCAGGCTCCAGCTGGGGTGGGGATCTGTTCCAAGTGTGATGGTACAGGTTTTTGGGAAGCCCCTCCCTCCCATTCTAAAACCACAGAATTTTCATCTGCCAGTTCCAAGAGATTCAATAACCTTAGGAATATCAAGGTTTCTTTGAAGCATCTGAGCCAGGACAATTTAAACAGATTTGTTTATTGCTTATTTTATGACTATTTTCGAGAACCATTTGTTCTTAGCTGTGTTTCAACTTTGCTCCTGCACCACTTTCAGAGAAAGCCTTCCCTAAACTTCATGTACTTATACATCTAGCAAGTGAGTGAGTCAGTGTCTGTGTGTTGGGAGTAGGGGGTGGAGAGGACTCATCCGCCCAGGCTACCCTTGTCCAATGAAGTCAGGCCCTCTGGGCATCAGTACTTTGAAAAATCTCCTCAGTGGATTCCAATGTGCAGGCAAGGTTGAAAGCCACTGATCTCTACCTTCTTGGAGTTGAAAATCATATGTGTGTTTATGAAACAAAATTCACAGTAGAAGAAACCTAATTATTACAAAGTCAAATAGGCAAAACAATTCAGTATTATTCAAATGAGACTTGGCAAGACAAAGAAAAGAAAAAGACCACCAAAGGAAGAAAGAAGAACAAAGAGAGAAGACACTATTGATAGCAAATCTACTCACTCAATTTTCTCTGGAAGGTCACTTTGAGTCATGCACACACAATTGGCCACAATAGTGAAGGTGATAAATAAAGTGAACCACCTAAAAACCACATGTTAAGGAAAAGCTGAGAGTTCACCGTGTCCCACCGATGTCATCTAGGATCACCCTGGCGCTGAGTGATGAAGTTCATGCCTCTTAGTTGGTATCAGCTTTCTGGTCCTGTCATATAATATCTACTCCCATTTACTGAGTATCATTTACTGTGGGCAGTACTCTGCCCACATTATTTCAAATACCACGAACCTACAGATGCATATTATTGTCTACATTTTGGATCTGAGAAGATAGGCTGACAGAGGTTAAATATGTTTTCTGAGATCATGCAGCCAGTTAACCATGGTGTTAGGAAATGAACTCAGACCTGTCTAACAGACCCCTGCTCAAGAGGGATGGGATTAGTGTCACTGTTCCAAAAAAGTCCTTCTGCCCCAGGCTTTCATTTCACTATACAAAGTGGCCTGAAATTCCATCCAGCAAAATCCCTTTTTATTCTCAAAGACAAGGAGAAGGTAGGAAGTTAGAGGTAAGTGGAAGGGTACAAGCTTTCATGGGAATTAGCTAAACCATTTTTCTAATTCAGCTGAGCCAGCCCCTCAAGGACACGGACATGAAATACTGTCTGGGGAAGAAATTCTTAGCAGGTTAGGATGCAAAATAGCTGCTGAGGAGATTCTAAGGAGCAGAACAGGCAAAGGGATTTCAAGAAGGAAGAGACTCCAAAAGGCAGACAAGTGGAAGGCAGCAAATAGGTGGAAAGAAATGGTGGAGGGAGAGTCCACAGACAAATTCCTCCACCCTGGACCTTTCCTTAGGACAAGTTTGGCTCTTAAAAATATATCTTGAGGAAAAACCAAGCTTTTCAAAGAGAAGCTTGACCTCTAGAAAGAGGACACCACTCTTCCTCCATCATTTTCATTTGAACAGAAGTACTGTATTTAAATCCATCTGAGTTTTGCAAATGCCTTTGCCGTGCTTTGTTTTGTGGTTACTGAGGAACACATCTATTTTGAACAGAAAATTCTATTAATTAAACCACAGTTTTTTTTCTGCTGAGTTACAATTAAATTAAGAAATATGTTCATAAAGGGAAAAATGTTAACCCAAGGATTAAATTAAAATCCTATCTCTAATTCTATAAGCCTTTGAAAGTTGTATGATATCTTATGCATATTACTTATGAAAACATTCATATAAAATTTGATTGGAATTATGATTTGGGGTGAAATATTAGTTATAGAACCTGAGGACTCTACACCTTGAAGAATATCTTTGGGGCTGGAGTTACCAAATTGATGTTATTTAAATGTATAACTGCACACTTGTGAGAACGAGACAGCTCAACAGATTTTCCTTCCAGCTGACCCCACCAAACAATTATTTACTCATCAAATCTCCAGATGAATAGACTATTCACTGGTCACTTGGTTCTTTACAAGGATTTTCTTTCTAATTACCTATTTATTACTGATCTGTATGTAATACAACCAGGATCCATGGAGGGGAGTTGGAATATTTGCTATTTTTCTTTTTTTTGTAATTTCTGTGTAATTGTATATATTTTTAAAAAGAAACAACTGCTGAAGTAGAGATAACACAGTGAAAGAATAATTAGCTTAATTCATTTCCATGACAGGTAATGCGTCCTCACTGTAGACATTGCTCAAAGCAGGGTGTAGGCTGTTAACTAACTGCATGACTTTACACAATTTACTAAATGGGTCTGAGTGTCAGTTTCAATATCTGCAAAATGGGGATGCTGGTCTCTCCTTCAAAAGCTTCTGTACCTATGACACTTCAAAAGTATTCAGTAAATAGGAGCTTGCTACCATATTGTTTCCCTTTGAAGAATCTAGAAATCCAAGATTCAACTCAGAAAATATAACTCCCACTGGTTACCCATATGGAAAAGACACAGATAGAGAAAATGGAATGCACCTTCATTGAGCACTGCAGGTTCATCTTGGGTGTGAAGATGGCTGCTCTAGGCTTCTCAGCTCGTGAGAACTGTCCAGCCATCCTGCAAACTATCTTACAGTGACTGAGGGAAGAGTAGCTGAAGGAACACATTTTACTGCAGCCTCCTGAGAAAAAGATGGCTAGCACCTGTCAGGAAACCAGGCAAAGCCATTCCTGCATCATTTGCCAGATGCCAGGGCTAAATTTGTCATTAGGAACTTCCAACTTGGACTGTTACCAGGGAATATCCTTGGAAGCTAAGACAAAATCTCTTTTGTCTACTAGTTTGGCTTGTCGTGAAAACAGAACAAAGTAAAAAGGAAAGGTAGCTTCTGATGCTGCCTAAAGCAACTAACATAATGTAGACAATGTGTCTCTAATCATTACATTCCTCTATGGCAGGAAGCTCAAGACACTGATTTTTTCATCTGCTGGTAGTTTTGGAGTAACTTGTGATTGGTGGTGTCCCATGATCAAGGAGATCCCATAAATCTGGGCTCTACCTGTCATGGTCAGTTCTCTTTGGGCCCCAGAAGGTACAGGTGTGTTGCTCTTTTGACAAGTAAGCAACCAATCCAAAGCACGGCCAGGGACAGTGTGACGACCCATGCCCATCTCCTCTGCCTAGAGAAGCTCTAGGCTCCTCTTACTGGCAGTGATGTCCTGAGGACAGCAGACCACTAGCAACAGTAGGGATGTGCCTGGGGCATCAGCAGATCTCTCTTCATAAAGAGGACATTTTCAGGTTGTATTTCCACAGCTGTGTCCAGGTGAGTTTGGGTGAGAGTGAGGACTGCTGTGTGGTGTTTTGTACATATGAAAGCTATGGACAATTTTTTTCAATGTAAAGACCTCATTGTCTCAGGATTCAACCAGAGGAAACGTCTACTGTTAATTTCTAAAGAAGGAACTGGACACAGTGGGAAGGGCTTGCTTTCTAACAGGTGAAAGAAACAACTGTAAAAAGGATACGAGTGGACAGACACTTTGATGGCCGTTCTTCTGATGAGGTTGAAGGGACTGAATAGCCATAGAGCCCGAGTGGCACTAAACCGAGAAATGGTCCTCCCCTTGTTCAGCACCATAAAGGTCTAAAACAAAACAGAGCAGAAGTGGATCTCCGATGAGGAACAAGAAATCTGATCCCGGTATTATTGAACATGAGTGGCAGTATCTCAGGCTCATGAGCAAGAAGCAGTCTAGGAAACACTCGTCCACTGATAGCCAAATGGAGGTGGAGAGAGTTAGAGGCTTGGAGACTAAGAGCCACACCCTGACCCTCTCAGCAGGAGCCTAGTCTCACTCCCTGTGCATCAGGATAAGGCTGACGAGAGCACTTAATGGACAGGCGGTAAACCCGGGGCGAGTAAGATGCACTGAGCCCCACGGAAGCACAATGGTGAGCTTCTGCTTGCATCTAATTCCACTGCTGACTGGAGAACCATCCTGGGGCTGGTGTGGTCCTCTCCCACTTCCTTCCTGGAAGCGTTTAGAAAGGCACGTTCTCTGGGCAAAGGAGAGGAAGGGGAACAATAGTCCAGTGCTTTTTTATTTTCTCTACAACCATTTCTGAGATGATTGATTCCTGCCCCCTGTAACTCCCAAATACACATTCACCATTTTGCTTCCCTATGTAGAACATTTGAGTTGCAATACAGGACAGGCAAATGAACAGCTCTTGTTTAAACTAGTGGTTCTCAGACTTTTTGATTTAAGAAGTTATTACTCTCCCAAAGAGTTTTTGTTCATGTACCTTAGTCTTTTTTGCTTATATATGTGTGTACATATATATTAGAAATCAATTTCTACATATACACATATATGTATACATACGTATAATGCAAATGCATGTAAACGTATTTGTGAGTACATATATACAATATATATTAAAGATAGAAACTCAGGAATTTTAAAACAACAGAATATAATGGCACACATTCCCACAGCTGTTACAGCGATGATGTCATCCCCATCATAGCCTCTATGCTTACTACTGTGTGTTCACAAGAGAATGTGAATGAAGGAGGTAAATGACATCAAAGTATTATTACAAAGTCATTTCAAACTCCTGAACCTGCTGGAGGAGTTGGGGAAACTCCAGGTTTTCCACAATCATACTTTAAATACCACTGACTTAAATCATCTTCTTTTATGTCCCACTTCCTCTTCCCCAACCTCAGGGTCCCTGCTCTCCACCTGTAAAGAGGCCCACACCTCTGGAATCCCTTGGCCAGAGCTCATTGGGACACAGTAAGTTTTTCCATAAGTTCTGTAGAAGTCTGTTGTTGTTTTTTTACAGACTTGAATCCAATTAGTTTCTATCATAAATTTCATGAAGATTCAAAGAGAGCATCGAATGAGTGAGTTGGATGTATTTCTAATTAGCTGAGTCTTTAGCAGACTGCCGCATCACCCAGGGTTCAGGACCCCCTGGGCTGGCTGGGATAGGTGCTTCCTCTCCAAGAGCTGAGAGCAGACCTTACCAGATGCTCTTACCCGGTGTGTTCTGTAGAAGGGGTCTAGATCCTCCAGGGGCTCCCCGACCAGTTCCGCTGGGAGCTCACCATAGAATTTGGGCAGCTGATTGCAGGCCTTCAAATCCAGCTGGGGCCGAGGTTTCTCTTCTTGGTCCTTCTGCTTCCTGTGTTTATCTCTGACTTTCTTTCCTGCCCGATAGGCAGCAATTTGCTTCTCAATCTCCGCCAGTGACTCTGGAGTGAACCGCCGGAAGTTGGCAGTTTCCAGGGACCCAATAGGGAATTCCATCTTTTCATTCTTTTCCAGTAAGAATTTATACTCTTAGTAGGGTAAATGGAATCACAGAGAGGTGTCAGCTTGCCCACTGGCCCTGTCCCTCCCACCCACCCCACTTTAGTTGCTAGGACAGCTCCCCTACCCCACCTCCAGCCCCGTCCTGTACTCACCCTGGGCTCTCCCAGGATCGCATTCCCCTGCTGTACTCTCAGGGAAGGACATTTATTTTGTCCTATCCAAGTGCCTTGGGTCCTGTCTTTGCTCCTCATGCTTCTTCAACACCCTGTGACCCCTTTCACACCCCCCCCACAAGCTTTAGCCATTTGGCCCCTCCTTTTTCTTTCTAGGACCACTGAGCTCCAAATGCTCTCCTGCAGTCATTAAAGACTGGTTCATGATCTACTTTATCATAAATCTTATCCTACTTTCTGACCACAACCTTTTATTTATTAATATTTTTTGTACTGCTGCCCTGCTTTGAACTTCATTTGATCTCTTGGCTACTTGCTCTTGTCCATGGCTGCACACCTTCTCTAGAACCACGTTAGGCCCATGGTCCAACATGTCAGTCACTCCCTCATCTTATCCTACATCCAAAGCCTATGTCAATCCGGAGCTGTATACTTTGGGGGTTTTGAGCCTGGGCTTCTAAGAGGTGATGGAGAGAGACAGCAGTTTGCCTGGACAGCAGTTTCTTCTGTCTGGTATTTCAAATTCACTCCCTCTGTCCTGATTGTTCCCTATCTTCTCTTGCACTAAGCCTATGGTTATGTTTCCTAGTTTGTGGAGTAAAGTAAAACTTCCACCCACTTCCTGCCCCCGAACCTCTAACTTACTTGTGCCACCTCCTCCTTTCTTATTATCATTACTCACTCTAGCTCAGATCAATTCTTTCTTTTGACTTAGGATCCTCCCTATCTCATTTTTCTCTCCGTCTCTCCAGACTTCTTCCCTGTTTAAAATGTTTATAAAGCTCCCCAGCACTCATGAAAACTCATACTGTGCACCCGATCAGTACTATTGTCACTAGCTGTGTACCGCCATGAGTTTCTCTGTGGATTTGGTTCATTCTTTTTCATCTTAAGGTCTTTCCGTGTTTTGTTTCCTTCATCTGAAATTTTCCTACCACCTTGCTTTGACTAGATAACCCTCTTTCACTCTTTAACTCTCAGCTTTGAAATAACTAACTTCACCCTGTGCAAAGTGTGTATTAGGGTTCCCATTTCATACTTTCACAACTATCTGTACTTTCTCAATAAACCTCTGATTTGTAATTTCTATTTTCTTTTCCATGTCTTTTACTAAACTCTAAGCTTGCTGAGGGCTGGGAACATACCTGTTCTGCTCAGCATTTATTCTGCTCAGCATTTTCCTCCTTGTTTTCCTCCCACTCCTTCTTCTTCATTTTAGCTAGCACACTCCAAAGCCAAGTAGATGGTGCCAGAGGCAGCACTTGAATGTAATGCTCCTGTAAAAGCTAGCCTGCTTATTTCTACCAGACCTAGAAAGAGCTCTTGAGTCCAGTTCCCCTCTGATAGAGACCCTGTCACCAGGCTTCCTATGCACTCCCTCTTGTGATTGTACCACTCCTCCTAATGCCTCCCATGGATTTTGCCCAGGAACTTTCCCTGTTTCCCTCCTAATATTCCTGCACATTCATACTTGGTCTGTCTCTTAGGAAACTTTCCAAAGTCAACACGTTATAGGCCTGGACATCTGGTTTGCATTTTCTTCTCATTCTGTAAGTCTATGTGCTATGTGTCCATGTTCTGATAAATATGGCACATGTATGTACTGACCATTCAATCACTACGGACTTGATTGAATGCAGTCATCATCTTTGACTCTTCCCTTTTGAATAACAGGAACTGTTAACCTTATCTTCCTTATCTCAGGGAGAGGTAACATTTATAGTGTAGAACAAAATTTGAGTTCCAGAACTTACTTATAGAGGAACAAGGCAGGGATTCCCTCAGTGACACTGAGCGCAATGTTGAAGATTGAAAACAAGACTAACTCAGAGGTCTTGGTGCTAGCTCAGGGGCTTGAGATCAAAGCACGTTCAGCTTTGAGGCTGACTTGATGCCAGGTGTCTATAATTCTCCTAGTCCACCAGAAATCCCTCTGGCCTAGTTCAGGTTTGTTGTCTGAGTGGGGGTAAGACTGTGTTCACAGACACGAGTGTATAACGACTGATGTAAGTATGAGAGTTTTCCCAAGACTTTCCCCAAGACTTTCCAAACAGGAGAGAGAGCTGGACTTGGGATCCCCTGATCGCAGTGGTCCCTCTCTTTCCATCTGTTGCCCACTTCTTTATGTGGCACTCTGAGACAGATATCCGAGGACAAGGAGTTTACCTGAGAGCTAGTTCTAGGAATCTCAGAGAAGAGTGGCCCTAGCTTTAAGGGTCCGACCCATGCTTGTCAAAATTCCTTAGCCCTCCCACTCACACAAAGTGATCCCTCACAGGCCTTTGGGTACAGAGCCCTCAGACACAATGGTGCAACCCAATGTATTCAGAATTATAGTGCATTGTAAATAAATGTTATGTGGCAAAATAATGTTGGTAAAGTTTTTCCCATTTATTGCATTTGTTAAAAAGCCTGAGAGGCACTAATGTGTTTCGTGGTTCTTTTTCTCATGCAGTGGTGTGCTCCTAGGAGTTGACAGTCATTCCTGAGCCTGCCAGGGACAGAGCGAAGAAGGCCACCTCCTCCAGTGTTCATGGCTCTGCTTGCCTGGTGGGAGTGCACTTCTGCCTGGTGCCCCACATCTTCGCAGCATGCTTATAAGCTTCTCATTCTTCATCAAATAAATAATTTAATTTCCTAATTAGTTAATTTCCTTATAACTTAAAAATTTCTTGGAAAAAATAATATAATTTTTTGGTTTTGTTCTGAGTATTGAATCCAGAGCCTTACACATTCCTGATCAGTGCTCTATCACTGAGCTGCACTGTCCACTGCATACACAATTTTTTCTATTATTAATCAAGGCAACTAATTTGTGAGCCCATTTTTGCTGTTTATTTTTTAACCTAAATCCACCTTGAAGCTCCTGAGAGCCCATTGCTGACTTAGCACAGTGGTTTGCAAATGGCTCACCGATGCCATAAATTTGCAGTCCTGGCCTAACACATCTTCTCTGAAGCTGCTAGGAAGAGTTGCTAGGACTTCTGGTCCACCATAGTCCATGCAAACCCTGGGAAGCACAGCAATGACCCTCTAGGTTTTCCATAGGCTGTAATATTTCCAGGAAGCCTATCACCCCTGAGGGTAGCCTGGAGACAAACAGTGACTTGTTGTCATCAATGGTAGAGCAGTATCTGTGTGGTATTGCCCCCACTTACTCTAGGAAGGATAGGTCTGAAGCTCCTACAACAAGCCTACTTGCAGTTAGGTGCAGTAACCACTGGCTCTGTGCATCACACAGTTCTCCTGCCTTTTCTAGTAAGTAATCTTTAAACTCAGTCCACAGTCTGGTACTGGGCCAGATCCATCACCATTAGAGGGAGAGTGAGTTAAAATATGGATGCCTGGACCCCAACTCCAAAGATTTTCAGTCAGTGAGTCAGAGAAGGTCCAGGGAGCTCTATTATTTATAGACTCATAGCTGAAATTGCTGGCAGATTTTTTTAAAAAACATCCCTGAAATTCTCTGCAACCATGGATGTGATATGGAGTTCATGTCAGGGGCAGAGGATCCGACACAGTTATAATACATCTCATGGCTCCAGAGCCTGGGTAGAGATCCTCCTGGACCATGCAGGCAGGTCAGAAGTTAGTATTGGGTGAGTGAGGGAAGCGGAGACCTGACTTCCAGTGGTGGGTGTTCTTCCTGAGTTACCATTCTAAGAAACTGATTATTCAGAGGCTGTCATGGGGTAGCACTTGGGACTTCCTCCCTTCTGTTGCCAGAATCAGGACAACTGCTGGCCAAAAACTTCAGGGAATCTTACACACAGGGGATGTGACCAGAGTGGACTTTGGTTGTTCCTGAGGATCAAACTTTTGTAGAGATATATTCTGTGTCTGGAGTTTCTGAGCAACAGGACAGTCTTTATGGGCCATAGGGGCATCATCACTTGAATTTCTGAGACCTATAAGTGAGCAGTTTCTAATGAAGGATAAGATCAGCTAAAAGTGATTTTAAAATACAGATGTTTCACATTTGTCATTTTGCTGCAATGTAAACAGCTTAGGTTGGTCTTGGTCAGGACCTATGGTCAGGGACGACCAGGAGACTGGGACTGCTCAGTGATGGCGGGTAACACTATGGGTGCAAACAAAGGTCTCTCTGAGGTTGCACTGGGGAAGGACGAACAGAGTGTTCTTTCTGTTAGATTCCATGGTTCTAGCACGAAAGTGTGTCTTTAATCATGCAGCAGTCATGAGTGCACACTGAATCAAGTCTGAGTTAGTCACAAAACTGACCAAATCTGATGAGATGAATTACTTAAATCTTCCACCCACAACGTCAACAAGTCCTCACTTATGTAAGTGGATTTATAAAGTGCTTCCTCCCATGATCTCCATTAGCCCCCACAGACATCCTGTAGTACAAGTAGAAGGTATTCTCTTGATTCTTTTCCTTTTTGGTAGTTCTGGAAATGGAGCCCTGGGCTTTACACATGCCAGACAAATGCTCTACCGCTGAGCTACATCCCCAGGTCCCAGCTATGCTCTTAAGTACAAGAAAACTAACAATCAGTGAGTATTGATGCTTATTTAAGGTTACAAAGATATTAGTTATACTGAACAAGCTTGTCTCCAGGTCCTTTGATTTCTGAGTCTCCCATTTCTGGGTGGATCTGTCTGGTTGGAGGAGGCCTGGAATCCCACTTTCTGAGGTTCTGGGACTTCAGAGAAACAGGGACTGGATTAGAATAAGTTCATATTTGCTGAGATCTCAAGGCCTCAGAGATCAGCCTCTTCATTTCTTAGTTCACTGAGGGTCTTAAGAACACTATTCCTACTAAGGTAGAAGTTGGATCTATATGGCAGATAGGATGT